CATAATTTTTTATCTATTTAAATTCAGTTTTTTCTCTTTGTGTCATTAGGCCTACATACGTTTTGAGAAATCAGATTGAAAAAAAAAAATTCTGTAGACTTTGTCAAGACAAACCATTGCATTTGTTGTAGCACTTATCAGTTCAGGCACTAAATGTCACTCTCTTCATTAGTTGTTTAAATCCACTTTGGGAAGTTGCATAATCCTCAGATATATCAACAAGTTTTGGTYGTTTTTGGACGGCTTTCATCCTGCGACAATCTAACTTGTGTTTTGGTCACAGGTTAGGATTTAATCTCTTATCTGTATGACTTTGACAAGACAGTTTGACCCAGGGGAAGATGGACTTTCTGTCTCTACTCAGTTGTTTTAAACAATTCTTTTAAGGTTGGTGGTGAAGAAATGGATTTTTAAGATGATATTGATCAAACCATCACAATTTCTTGATTTCCACTTGTAGGGTTTATTTGAAATGTCTTTCTAGAAGCAGGTGAACGAGTATTTTCTTTAAAATACGCTACATGAATCCTGTCTTTTATGAGTAACGTGTATGTTGTTTGTCCAGGTGGTGCGAGCGAGACTGGGGGAGAGAGGAGTGTGCGTTAAGGACGTGAGGCTGAATGGTTCTGCTGCCAGCCATGTGCTTCATCAGGACAATGGGCTGGGCTACAAGGACCTCGACCTGATCTTCGGCGTGTCTCTAAAAGACGACCAGGCTTTCCGTCTGGTGAAAGATGTCGTTCTGGACTGCCTGTTGGACTTCTTGCCCGCCGGAGTCTGTAAGGAGCGCATCACGGCGCTGACCCTCAAAGAGGCGTACGTTCAGAAACTGGTGAAAGTCTGCAACGACACAGACCGCTGGAGCCTCATCTCGCTGTCCAACAACACGGGCAAGAACGTGGAGCTGAAGTTCGTGGACTCTCTGCGGCGGCAGTTTGAATTCAGCGTGGACTCSTTCCAGATATGCCTCGACTCGCTGCTTTTGTTCGACCGGTGCTCGGAGACGCCCATGTCCGAGAGCTTCCACCCTACGGTGATCGGGGAGAGCGTGTACGGAGACTTYCAGGAAGCCATGGACCACCTGTGTCAGAGGACCATAGCCACACGCAGCCCCGAGGAAATCCGAGGCGGCGGCTTGTTGAAGTACTGCCACCTGCTGGCGCGGGGCTTCACGCCCTCCTCGGAAGCGGACATGAAGCTGATGCAGCGCTACATGTGCTCGCGCTTCTTCATCGACTTCCCCGACCTCGGCGAGCAGCAGAGGAAGCTGGAGGCCTACCTGCAGAACCACTTCGCCGGCATGGAGCACAAACGCTACGAGTGCTTGCTGACTCTGCACCAAGTGGTGAACGAGAGCACCGTGTGTCTAATGGGCCACGAGCGGCGCCAGACCCTCAGCCTCATCTCCATGCTGGCGCTGAAGGTGCTGGCCGAACAGAACGCCATCCCCACTGTGACCAACGTCACGTGCTACTACCAGCCGGCACCTTACGTGCAGGACATCAACTTCAGCAATTATTACATCGCGCACGTGCAGCCGCCGCAGATCACGCAGTGCAGTAGCTCGTATCAGACGTGGCTGCCCTGCAGCTGAGCCGCGGCCGCGCCGCTTTTTCCAAGGAGGCGGACTTAAATCAGAGGAGTRAAATTTGCCAAATGTGACTTGACTTAAAACAATCCTGTACTGCTGTGCATCTGATTGAACAGACACAAATAAYTGCGCTTCATTTACCTCGGAAGTTGGAGCAGGAATCTGGGGGATTATGTCCCACGGTTCAAGCGTTGCAAGTCAGAAATCAAGCGCTAATTGTTGCTCAATGGCSGGGCTAATATTAGCAACTCAAGTCAGTGATTTATTCTGCCACATTTTTGCATTCAAACACTGTAGCAACAAGTTCATTCATTCTGCATACAACAGATTTACTGGAATTCAAGTTGACAGAAGTGCAAATAATGGCTCAGCACTATAGCTATCACCAGACCTGCAGCCATGTTGGATTTTGAAGCCAGGGCCAGTGAGAATCCCTCTGCGCTCCGGTTGTTTTTTCTGACTTGGAACGAGAAAAATCCAACTTCTGCGTAAAAATTGAACGCACTGAAAATCTCCCGTTTTTGTCTTGAACATCTGAAAGATTGCTGGTCATTTCTGAGATGTAGCTTTAATATCTTATTTAAGTATTAAAAGTCTTTAAAAAAACTTTATATATTTCACACAAAAACTGTTTTGAACAACATTGATTGATTATTATTGGTTATTTTCATACTTTTTTCTTAAATCCCGTGTTGGACCAAAGATCTATTTGCTGCTCTGGAAAAAAAAAAGTTATAATTCCTGGTGCCTATAAAGAACCACAAAAACATCTGTAAAAAGTGAGAACTGTGAATTCAATCTTTTTCTAGATCACTTTGTTTCTCTTTTTTTTTTGAAAAAATAAAATGAAGTTTGCTGCAATTTAAAAAGAAAAAAAAAAGAAGGGAAAAACCCAAATCTTTGTTTTGCACTGTGGTTATTTTGTGTTCACTTTGTTCCATAATGATTGTTGACGTTTCACCGTATGTTTTTTTCTTTTTTTAAGTCTGCATTTGGTTTAAAGTGGTTATTATCTGAGCTGCTTCGCCAGCCTCTCAGTCAAGTTGTAAACTGTCACATGGTCTCAATAAACATCACGTTTTTCATGAAATCTGGGAAACTCTGGCTGAAAAACAGACACMGTGTTCCAAATTATTATGCAAAATACACTTTTTCTCTTTTCCTAAATAGTTCATGCAAATGACAGCATAACTTTAAAGTTCTCAGTAGAATGGTACTAAAAAAACTCCCAATAACTATTTTTAATAACTAAACTTATATGCACTGTTCCAAGTTATTATGCATAAAACATTTTATATGGTGTGAAGAACTAAATACAGTCATTAGTTCAATTTGCATTTAAAAAGGACAGGTCAAGTTACATGATTTTAACATAGGAYCCATTGAACTGTAGRTTTTGGGGAGTTAATGCTTGAATATCTTTGCAGGATGTCAGAATGGCCTCTCAGAGCTGCTGTTTGCAGCCTCTCATCCTTATTCCTGATTAGCTTGAGGCTCCAAAGGTTCTCAGTAAGGGGGAGGTGGGCCAGACAATGAGTTTCTCTCCTTTTATAGGAGCCCATGCTGCAGAGGTATTCCTTGCAGCCTGAGATGGTGCATTGATGATACATGATGATTTTAAGGAAGGAAAGCGTGATTCTTTTGGTACCATAGAAGAAAATGGTCCGAATGATCAGGGACCTTAAAAGGGCCAATCAGCTCTCTCCCCATGAATCGGGCCTAAAAACAACAAAATGGTGGTCAGCTTTATAATGTATAATGTCCTCCTTTTGTAGTTTTTCCTTTAATTGGGCTCCTCTGGGAAGCTAATCATCACAGGTGCCTTGAGATTGATTTCAGGGATCTAAAACCCAAAGACACAATACCATCTTTGAGTTTTATTGAAAAACAAACAACAAAATAATCTTTATGACACCTAAATACATTTTGCATAATAATTTGGGATGTGGTCTGCGCTAGTGTCCCTCCTCTTCCTGTTCAGGGGTGACTGACAGGTGTTTAAAACGAACTAAGCTGCTTCGTTTCCAGTAACCAGACTGGGTGAAATCCACACGCTGTTAGCTGGACTGAGCTGCGTGTGTAAAATTGGAGTTGAGGATCCATTACRATCTGAGGACATGAACCATAAGGAGGCTTTTCTGCTGCACAATGGCTTCTCTCTCCTCTCTGATACCAAAGGTTTTTTTTTTTAACAAAGGCTGACTTGTTCGTCCATTCATGTCACCACTTCAAATCCAGCCCTGTCTGCCTGACCGATACATCCAAGCCATTCTGTTGTAGGCAAAATGAAAACAAAACAAAAAAGTTCATTAAACTTTATTGATCTTCACAACCCTCGCTGGTTTCTTTGTGACCAATAATTACATCTGCAGTGAAATCTGAGTGAAAAATACAGCTCATTTTTTCCACACCGACCCCCCCCCACCACCACACTCACATTTATCCCTTGATCGTGTTGAAACCTCGAAATTGATTCTGAAAGACAGAATTCAAAATGTGGTGTTACTGAAGGCTATAAATATGCGCCGCAGCCGTATTTCTGCTTTAATCTGGTAAATGCAGGGTATCGCTGGTCCTGCTCACAACCCCAGCTCRCTGGAGGGAAAAAGTGCTGCTGTCAACACGAGGAACGGCAAACTGAGTATGTTCTAATATGAAATTACTACATTTAGTTGTGTCTTGGATGCACAGGCAGAATAATCAGACAACTCCTGAATCTTGGCAGAACTTGTAAAGCATTCAGTTCAAGTTCCAAATTTGAACACAAATCAAGTGAAACGCTTTGTTTTTCATCACGTTCCAGGATTTAATATTGATACTCAGTAATGATTCTTTTACCTTCAGCAATTAGACTTAAAAACAACAAAAAAGAAAGTGTTTTGTTTATTTACCTTTAAGTTTTATATTGCCTGGGCAAACTAAGACTAACTTCCTCTCCCTTTATGTCCAGAATGAATGTTTTAAATGTAATATACAGGGTGAGTCAAAAGACTCAGGACACCCTTTTCTGTCAGAGACAAACAGGAAAATGAAATATCTGAATACCCCAACAAGTAATGGATGAGGGAKGCGTATCTTTTAGGCAATGTCCAAAACATGGCTGCCATCTGGAAAAAAGCTGCAATACTGAATCAAAATCAAAAATTTCATTGGACCCCAAGAGATTTTGTATGTCTGATTGCAGCGATCCATTACTGGGACGATTCTGGCCTTCACTGATGTATTACATGAACTCCTTTGGAAAAAAGATGAATTTGTTACAAAATGGTAGAGATGTGACGTTCTTGGTCTGAGTTGTTCTATTTAAATGAAAAAAAGTGTTGAAAAAATGCGTTGTTCAAAATGGTATGTTTGAATAAACAGGAATCCACTGGTTTTCTCCTTAAAAACTTTATTCTCAGTCTTCTGACTCCCAGTCAGACTCACAGTGCAGCACTCAGCACAGGCCTCAGCGACCTTGGGCTGAAATCAAACCAAAACACAGCAGCCTGCTCTGAGCAGACACTCTGCAAAACACTAACAACTCATTCCTACTATCATAATTATTGACTTTATGTACATCTCTTCCTGGTTTCACCCCTGGAGGTGATACCTTTTACGTCAGACGTAGAACATAACTCATTTTTGTTTAGGCTAAAAGAAAGAACACAAGATAAGACACACACTAACCCTTTCTCTGCTTTAACCTTACTTACAATGATCAGAAAGAATAACTGCCTCTAACATTCAGTTAATCATTTATAAAACTTTCTTCAATAGGATTTGTGTTGCAGAGAATAAAGAGCCATTTGTAGTTTTATTTTTTTCTTATTCCTCGTAATATCTTAATTTTTTTTCTTCCTTACCCACAAACACAATTGCTCCGACTTCACTTCTTCATGGAAAACAGGCAAGGCGGTGGAGTCGCAGTTTGACAAGCGCTAGACCCAAGATTCCATACGAAGGAAAAGTAAAAAAATAAAAAATAGGAAAAAGTGTGGCGTTGAAGCACAACCTACAGGCTATTGGAGGGGACACCTCAGAAACACACCCATTGGCCCACACAAAGCACAAACACTAATACGGCAAAGAATGATGAACCGTTCGTGGCCCAGATGTGGTTTACCAGAGGTGATCCATGCATGGGCCAGCACCACATAAAGCACAGCTGGGTCAGTTGTGGTCACCCCTATCTATAGATCCCTATCTACAATACACATCATGCCTGCTTTTAGTTTCTTTGTTTTCCCCTTGTTTCAAGTGTTATATTTATGCAGTTTGTGTCGTGTCTTAGTTTTATCATTGTTCTCWAACATTTTGTGTTGTATTGCTGCTCCTTGACCAGGTAGTCATTGAAAATGAGAATTGGTTCTCACTTGACTTACCTGTAAAAATAAAGGTTTGTATAGCCAACCCAATCAGTTGAATGGCTCTATGAAACAAACGTCTCGTCAAGCTATGGATCCCTTCGAAGAGCCATTCATCCCATCTCTAGATGGCGGCCATGTTCTGGACGTATCCAAAAATTAAGGGTGCAAAGATACAGAAAATTCACGATTCGGTTCGGTTCGATACAAAAAAGAGAAATTTCCATGCCCCTTTTAACTTGTAATTTATTTAAATTAATTTTGAACATTTGTTTAACCTCAAAAGTATAGTTTTTAAATTAAATATTGCTGAAACAGCAAGTTTCTCAGTGGCTCTGTGCTCAAAAATGCAGCCTAGGTGGAGTAGTCCAACACAGTTCCACTGATCCTTCAACACAGGGCATCTTCAGAGGACGTTGATAAAGTAAATTTTAAAAATCTGTATTGTTCAATACCAAGTGTGTATTGAACCTAAAGCACTGTCCGATACGGTTCGAAATGGGTACATGTATTGTTGAACCCCTACCGAAAAGATACTGGGTTATTTATTTCATTTTCCCTTTCCTTTCTGAAATAAAAGGATGTCCTGAGACTTTTGACTCACACTGTATTTAGAAACGCTTGTCTAACTTCAGCGCCAAATAATTTAGACGTTGTCTGCTNACGATACAGAAAATTCACGATTCGTTTCGGTTCGATACAAAAAAGAGAAATTTCCATGCCCCTTTTAACTTGTAATTTATTTATATTAATTATGAACATTTGTTTAACCTCAAAAGTACAGTTTTTAAATTAAATGTTGCTGAAACAGCAAGTTTCTCAGTGGCTCTGTGCTCAAAAATGCAGCCTAGGTGGGAGTCGAACACAGATCCACTGATCCTTCAACACAGAGCATCTTCAGAAGACAAGTTGATAAAGTAAATTTTAAAAATCTGTATTGTTCGATACCAAGTGTGTATTGAACCTAAAGCACTGTTCAATACGGTTCGAAATGGGTACATGTATTGTTGAACCCCTACCGAAAAGATACTGGGTTATTTATTTCATTTTCCCTTTCTTTTCTGAAATAAAAGGGTGTCCTGAGACTTTTGACTCACACTGTATTTAGAAACGCTTGTCTAACTTCAGCGCCAAATAATTTAGACGTTGTCTGCTGTGAAACTGCCAAAACAACGTCAGAAATTTGCATTTTATTTTATTTATGGCAGACATAAACACCCATTTTAAACACTCTGCTCCCTTAAATCGGCTGACGTGCACGTCCCACATTCACCCACTTTATCCTGTTTAACGTTGTGAAGGAGGGCTGCAGTCATCAGGTGGGGAGGGACACCTGGACAGTCCATCACAGCCCCAACATAAAGACACACACACAGCCTTAACACACATGTCAGGGCTTGGGGAGGAAACCGGAGCACCCAGAGAAAACCCACRCATGCAGAAAGAGCTGAGACCTTCTTATTGTGCGAACCGCTACACACCAATGCAGCCAAAACCTTTCCGGTTCTGTGGAATTAAGTGATTTTAAAGAAATTAGGAACAAATTAAAGGCAAAGTTTTACARTAACATTTTGGCCTTCAAAGACACTAGCAAACAGTTCTGTTAAAGTTTCTTATCTAGTCAGTTTTTAAACTTCAAGTACTTTTCAACACATAATTTGCATAAACTAAATAAATTAAATAAAAAGGCTTTGTATATTCTGTAAAACTCACTGGTAAGTAAGTAAGTAAAGTGAGTAAAAGTTTATTTATATAGCGCCTTTCACAGA